GCTTATGTGTTGATGCGTAATATCTTTATCTGTTGATGTGTTGATATAACTAATATGCTTATCTATTAAATAAAGATGGAGAGTGAAAAGTGACATAGACTCGTATGTTAAGAAATTGTGACGTGGCATATGTGGATGTATCAGTGTTGGCCATCTATCAATTGCTAATCTTTTAGTCATTGTTCATAGTTGGTTTAGTATATCTCTGCTGGGCTGTGGCTCACCCTATATAGGAACATCATTTTCAGGTACAGGTAGCATGCCACCTCCAAGGACATAGCTTGGGAGGCTAGAGGCGGACACACTTTTGTTGTCTTATTTTTTGATGTATTACATGTAAATTCAAGCCAAGGGCTTAATATGTAATTGAGTTAGTACTCTCTTTTGTAACAAGTGTTAACTTGGAAAGCTGTAAGCCCGCAGGGCATTTGCTTTTGTTGTTAACATATAATACTTTTGTAGTGAAGTACTCTGATGAATTGAAGAATGTGGATCTTTTGTATATAAATGTATGTCTATATTGATGGGTTTAATATTATTATTTCGAGGGCGTTACAGGTTCGGTTGAAATGATAAATAAGACAAACATATGTATATTTTAGTCAAATAAAATCATATTAAGATTCATATTCAAAATAAAAATATGTTGTATTAGAATTTATAGCGATCCCGATTCTTCCTCCTTGGGTTGTTGTATCCGGACTTAGTTCTGTGGATGTTAGTTATGATTTATATCTTGTTTCCGTCCTTCTATACTTTGTTTTTGAGTTATAGGATGTGTTGGGCAGGTTTTTTTGAGGTTGGGAGTGATTGGGAGCAAATGGTTGCTGCCCAGAATTTTGGTTCTTTGCTCGAGCGAGACTTTTGTCTCTCGAGCGAGCTCTGTGTTTTAGATCCTTCGCTCGAGCCAGGATTCCTTCGCTCGAGCGAGAGTTGAGTTTTGTGTCTGGTGGCTTGAGCGTGAAGCGTTGCGCTCGAGCATGCGTCTGCGTCTCATTTTGACCTGAGAGCTGTGTTTCTTGGCTCGAGCGAGACTTCATTCGCTCGAGCGAGCGAGGCCTATGTTTTGGGTTTCTTCGCTCGACCGAGCATTCTGTCGCTCAAGCATGCTTCTAGGTTGCAGACCTGAAGCATCGCATTGTTGGCTCGAGCGGGGATTCTTTGTGTCTGGTCGCTCGAGCGACCAATCCTTCGCTCGAGTAAGCCTATGTTATATCAGATTGCAACAGCGGTTTAAACATCACTTTTTCATTCTCTTTTGATTTCAATACCCTAGGTCCGTTATCTCTCTCTCTACACACCTTCTCTCTTAGGTTTCATCTATTTTTAGGGTGTTTCTACCCTAGGTTTTTTGTAAAAAAGGTAAAGGGTCGCGAGGGCTTTGTTTTAATCTGAACAATAGTGGATTTGGAGCATTTCGGGTTTCGGTCATCTTCTCCTTTGGGCTTCTATTTTCAAGGTAGGGATACCTATAGCGATCCCGGATTTACCCTTGTTGTACAGTGATCCGGACATGTGTCCGTGGAGGTTGGTAGTTGATTATTATCTTGTTTACATCCTTTTTACTTTGTAGTTGAGTTATGGGATGTGTTGGGCAGGTTTGTTACAGGTTGGTTGAGTTTAGAAACCAAAACTAGTTGCCCAGATTTTGACCTGTCCGCTCGAGTGGGAGTTTTGGCGCTCGAGCGAGAATTGCACCCATCCAGTATTTCCTGTGCAGTGTTGGACGCTCGAGCTTGGGATTGGCCGCTCGAGCGGGGTTGTGTGAGTGCCGCTCGAGCGGGGAGTTGGAAGCTCGAGCGGAGACCTGGTTCTGTAAAAGTTCTGGGAGTGTGCATCCGCCGCTCGAGCAGGAGTTTGTGAGTGACGCTCGAGCGGGGTGTTTGACGCTCGAGCGGGGCGACTGGGTTTAAGTTCCGAGTTCTGACTTTTCAAATCACTTTTTCACTTTCTCTTCTCTCTCCTACTTTTCCAAAAACACCATTGTTGTGCCTCTCACTCTAGAACTCTACCTTCTCTCTAGGTTTTGATCTAGTAGGAGTGATTTGCTCATCTTTGGCCTTTACAAAAAAGTTGTTGATCGTCGAGGGCTACATTTTAATCTGAAAATTCGGGATTTGGAGCAACGTTGGGCTTATTCCTATGTGCGTGAGAGATTCGATAGATCATCTTGCCGACTTGTATATTTGGGACATAGTGAGGTTGCAGAATGAAATGGAATAAATGTTGAATCATTGATGAAAATGGGACCTAAGGGTCGTAATGTTAATTATGGAAATGACCTAATTACATCGTTTGATTAATTGGGATAATTAATTGTGAAGAAATGAGGAAATGACATGAAATTGTTGAGATTGGGAATGTATGGGGTTAAAGGGTGTAGTTGAATTAATTATCACTCACCGAAATGAAATGTTGATTGAATATCCATTGTGCATTTATTTTCTGTTTAGAGATAACTGCTTTGGGCTATCGATGGAGGATAGTCGTGATTGTTGTAGACAATGCATGATGATTAGGCAAACGAAAACTAATCAATAGAATGTGTCATGGAATTTGACGGTTTGATAGAATACATTAACTGTATCTATTGGGTGATTGTATATAGAACCAATGTGTTTGTATACGTTATGTGTAGAGGAGGAGATGGGGGATGTACTCCGCGGTTTAGGGGAAGATGGGGGATGTCCTCTAAACCGGATAGCGTTGGAAGGAGATAGGGGATGAACTCCGTAGATACAGCTCATATGCTTGTCTAGAGAAGTGAAGATAGAGCTCATATGCTTACCTTTGTGAAGTATAGATACAGCTTATATGCTTGTCTGTGAATGTGGGATATAGTTGTTATTATAATTGTTGAGAATGTGGATATAGCTTATATGCTTTCTGTGAATGTGGGATATAGTTTTTATACATATCTGTTGAATGATGATAGAGCATATGCTTATCTGTTGAAAAAGGGAAAATGAAAAGTAACTTGGACTCATAAGTCGTATGACATAAAATGTGATTTATTGTAGATGTATCAGTGTTGACCATCTATCAATTGCTACTCTTTTAGTCATTGTTCATGTTGGTTTAGTGTATTCTACTGGCTGTTGGCTCACCCTATATGGGAACATCATTTTTCAGGTACAGGTAGCATGCCACCTCCAAGGGCATAGCTTGGGAGGCTAGATGG